GGGGTGGGGAAGAAGAGCGAGAGATTCAGTTTCAAGGGACCAGGCGAGACTTTTGAAAGCAAAATTTTGTATTTATACAGGAGTGAAAAGGCAAGATGACAACTGTCAATAGAATCACTGCATCACATTTAAACCAGCAACTCCAAAATACAAAAACCTTGAACTGAAGTTTACCAGTAAGCATTTTGTGTTAAGTTTACAAACAAGACTAAAATAAGTTATCTGTTAGAGCACATTTACATTTCGCCTGATTATATAAAAATTCTTCAGCTTTTTTTTTTGCTTTTTTTTAATATAAAGTGTTCAAGTACTCCATTTGTACAGCGGCGTTACAATTTCAGCATCTAATCGAGACCGCTTCCCCCCCCCTCTCCCACCACTTCAGCAAAACAAAACCCCACCATCCAGTCCAATAGTGTGCGCCAACTTTAGCCGTCAGTGAGGTGGGGGGCGGCGGAAGAAACAGCCTCCCTCTGACCCAGTCTTCAGTCAACTGGTGCCCTAACAGGGGCTGCCCTGGCATAAAGTGACAGTCTACCTCCAGCCTTGCCAGTCAGTCTCCCCTCCACACAATAAACAAAAATGCAAAACCCTAGATGGGAGCAGAGAGATTCGGAGCACACTGCCTGCGACGCAGCACAACGCGCCCGAAGGAGCGCTTGAAGTGTGAATCTCTCTGCGCGCATTTGCAAGCCGCTGACAAGGTTAATGCCCATCTTGTAGCGGGCCATTGAAGGCATTTGCATCACTTTTACACCCAAAAGGTGGGGGAATGGGGTAAGTGGATTGGCTTGGCATAAGAACTGCCAGGCAACATCCCTTGGCACACAATACTGTTATGGTGTTTGGGGATTAAAAAGGGCACGGCTCTAAGGATGCAAACAGCAAAATAGATGTCCCCTGCTTCCCCACCCCCCCACCACCTCAGGGCGGTTACAGGAGCCAGAGGGGGAAGCCAGTGCATTCAAATATTACTCCCTTTACCCAACACTGTCTAGTTCCACGCTGGATTAAAAGAAGCACACAGCAGTTTCCTGGGAAGCTCTCTCCCACGGACACAGTGCCCGGCAGCTCTCTCTGCGCCGAGGGATCTATTTTAATCGTTAGTGCCTCGCGCGTTTCTGCTCGCCGTCCCGGGACCGGCTGGATTCCAGCGGCAGAAGCAGAAGCCCCCTTCTGTCTCCCCTCCCCCATCCCCACCTCCACCAAAAGCAGCTTGCATTGCAGCAATCCGCAGGGGAAAACCAGGCAGTTTTAAGGTGCTTCTGACAACAACCCGGGGAAAAACAGCAGACAGGCGTCCAGGCCCCCGCCCCAGCATGGAGGTAAAGGAGGAATGGCTCAGGTATATCGATAGGAATGACTGCAGGGCAGCTTAAAGAGTGACACGACCATCTGTAGACACAGACACACAAAGCACACGCGTGCTCTATCTGCAAACACATCACGACGATTCACAAGCTAGTTTTAAATAAGAGCTCAAAACCACTCTGTTCAAAGCAACGCGGGAGCTCCTGGAGGTCTCTTTGGAACTCAGACAGGGATTTGGGGGCTCTTGCCCACACGACCTGGCAGGAGAAAGGGGGGTGCGGGTTCAAAAAATAAACGTTTGCAACTGATACCACCTGTGGTGGTACTGGAGGCTCACAGACCATCCTTCTACAGGCTGCTGAGACAGACAGAGACACACACAGAGAGGGAGAGAACATTTGTAATGGGTTGCAAACCGTTCTGTTTTGTACACACCAAGATGACAAGATTGGGGGGTAACTGAGTGAGGAGATGGGAAAGGGAGGGCGGGGGGTGTTCGTTTAGGTCCACAAATCACATGATCGCGCAGCAGGAATTCTGTTTCCGAGCCTGTGGGAGGAACACAGAGGGAGAGAGACCAATCAGCAAAAACACATCCATCTTTTAAGGTTTTAGCGAAGATCTGTAGCTCGGGTTATGGGTGAGGTTGTTAACTTGCTCGCCGAGCTGGCTTGTTCTAGGTGACATTATTAGTCGAGCCTCTGATGAAGCGATGTTATTCTACTCCGCTTGGAATCTATACTGTCTAATCCGTTATGGTGAGTAGTGTCATTTCCGGTTTTGATCTGTATGGGTTTGTATATGGAATCCAACTCTATATGTTTGTCGATTGCATTACGGGTGGAGAACCATGCCTCTAGGATTCCTGTGTGTGTCTATGTTTGGCTTGGGCTACTATGGTTATCTTGTCCCAGTTAAACTGATGGCCTTCACTATCTGAGTGTACCGATATGAAGGAGAGTTCGTCGTGCCGTTTTGCTGCTAGTTGATGTTCATGTGTTCTGATGGCTAGTTTCCTTCTTGTCTGTCTGATTTAATGTTTGTGGCAGTCGTTGCATAGTATTTTGTAAACTATGTTGGTTCTGCATGTTGTGGGAAGGGGGTCTTTAATCTTTGTAAGTGTTTGTCTTAGAGTGGCTGTGGGCCAGCATAATTCCTAGTGGTCTTAGGAGTCCTGTTGTCAGTTCTGAGATGTTCTTGATGTAGGGCAGTTTGGCCAGTGTGTTAGGGCATACTGTGTCCTCCAGTTGCTGTCTGTTTAGCAGGCACATGTGGATGAAGTTGTGTGGATATCCACGCATAGTGAAGATTGTGTGTAGGGGCTCTCCCTCTTGCCTGCATAGTTCTGGCGCGTTACAGTGAGTGTTGTCCATTTAGATAGTGTCCCAACACAGCTTTGTTTGTGGGCATCAGGGTGGTTGCTATGGAATTTGGTCCACGTGGGCTGCTTCCCTGTATACTGAGGTATACAGAACAGAACCGGAAATGACACTACTCACCATAACGGATTAGACAGTATAAATTCCAAGCGAGTAGAATAACATCGCTTCATTGGAGGCCTCACTGATGATGTTACCTAGCATGGTGACGAATCGTCTGTACGGGAACAAGCCAGCTCGATGAGCAAGTCAACAACCTCACCCGGCATCAAGGTCGTACAGCGCTGGCCCATCTCCCATCCAACACGAGACGCTGTAACGGGTTTGCAGGCCGTTCAAGCCGTCTCGAGTTTCCTATCCGCCAATCCAGATAGCCCGCTGGTGCATTCCCTCTCCCACCATCCCCCTACTGCCACCCCAATCCGCTCCGACGCCAACCCCCCCAGAGTGAGCAGCTCGGCGCCGGCTCCTGGGCACAGCCGCATGGGGCCGGTGCTTACCGTTTTGTAGAAAGCTTTTGACTGGGTGCCCAGGATTTCCGATTTCAACACCAGATCGTCCAGCTTCTCCCCGCGCTCCAGCAGCGATTCCATCGTGTTGTGCTACAGGGAGAACGGTCAAAAGAGTCCTTTACCGTGCATCCACGCAGACCCGTGTGGTCTCACACATGTGTGCGCTGCAGATCAGTGACTAAAATCGGGTCAATAGTACGTTATACAACATTATTTCTGAATGGTGACACATGGCGCTGAGGTGGTGGAATAATCGTGGTCCCTCCTGCCTGGCGCACATCAGGGCTGTGTGCGACACTACCGCCAGTGTGTCCCAGGGCATCTGTGCCCACCGGTAGCTCCGAGGCTGCACAGTCCTAAAATTCCGGAATCATCACCGGTCGAAAAAACCGGGCACGATGTTGGAAAAGACGGGAGAGGAGCAGGATTTTGAACGCCGTGACGTGGAAGACAAAAAGAACGACTGAAGCCACTGACTAGAAAGTGGATGGAAAGGGCTATGATAGTATGGAAGGTGGCATTACTGGTGCTTTTGTATCAGATACCCCAGGGGTTACCACTGACTAGAAACTGAACTGGACCAGCCCCATATAAAAACAGCGGCTAATACAGCAGGCCAGAGGCTGGGAATCCTGCAGCGAGTAACTCCCCTCCTGACTTCCCCCCCCAAAGCCTGTCCCACCATCGACAAGGCACAAGTCAGGAATGCGATGGAATACTCCCCTTGCCCCAGATGGGGGCAGATCCAACAACACTCGAGAAGCTCGATACCATCCAGGGACAAAGCAGCCCCCACTCGATTGGCCCCACATCCGCAAACATCTCACTCCCCCCACCACCGACGCTCAGTCACAGCAACGTATACCGTCTACAAGATGCACTGCAATAACTCACCGAGGCCCCTCAGGCAGCACCTTCCAAACCCACGACCCACTTCCATCCAGAAGGACAAGGGGCAGCAGGTACATGGGAACACCACCCCCTGCAAGTTCACCCTCCGAGCCCCTCACCGTCCCTGACTTGGAAATATATCGGCCGTTCCTTCAGCGTCGCTGGGTCAGAATCCTGGAACTCCCTCCCTGAGGGCACTGTGTGGGGGTCCCTACACCACACAGACTGCAGCGGCTCACCCCCACCTTCTCAAGGGGGACAGTTAGAGGGAACAGGGCAATAAATTAATGATAGGTCAACAGCTTAAGGATAAAAGCCTTTGAGGATTGAGGAGGAGGAGAAATGTCTTCACGCAGCAAGCGGGCAGCCTGTGGGATTCTCTGCCACAGAGGGTGGGTGAGGCAAAGGCAGTGTGCTTTCAACGAGATAGATGCAGCTCTTGGAACTAAAGGGATAGGAGGTGACAGCAGGATTACGGTATCGAGCTGGACGCTTAGCCACGATTGTAACAACTGGCGGAACAGGCTTCAAGGGCCAAATGGCCTACACCTGCTCCCGTATTTCTACAAATGCTGGCCCAGTGAGATCGAAAACTTGCAAAATAAATAGTATTTGGCGCTTCATCTCAGGGCTTGTATCGATGCACAAGTAACAAATACATGCCTGTTAGTCAGTATTGCGCGGTGGGAACAGTCGCACGCTTTAAGTCTTACCAGAATCACTTTAGTTTCGTCCAGCTCTGCTTGCACTTTACTCATCGGGTCAGCTTCCCGTGGGTTCTGAGAGCACACAGACACACAAACACGTATGGAGTTCAGGATTGGCGTTTAAGAACTCACGGGCCGTGTCTTACGACAGGGAGCGAGCGAGCGAACCGCAGCGTGTGCGTGGAAAAGGCGGGATGAGCCACAGCTTAAAACGTAGCACTGCCTGATAAAGCTCATTTGGCCACTTCGAAAGGGCATGCGGGAAAGCATTTATAAATCGAAGGGGGACCCCCACAGGATATGAGGGTCTTCAGATGCAGTGGGTCCCTGCCTCTGGAGTGAGAAGGTCCATGCCCTGTCTCTGCGATTGGGGCCTGCAGACTTGGGGGGAGACATCGAAGGGCGGGGGAAAGGCTGGAGGGAGCGACAGCAGGGACGACCTGGGCCGAATGGCCTCCTCTCAGGCCATGCAAAGCCAGGAGACTCCCATCTCTGGTGAGCCTCTGTTGCAGAACAACTGGCGCTAACGTCAATATCACGCTCAGGATAGAGGGGTCTATTCCTCAAGCTTTAGAAGGTCCAGGGGCTCTCACAGTCGGGCCATGCTACAGCTGAACAGCACGGGGCACCAGACACACACAAGGCAGGACAGGTTGAGATGGCTGTGTGTCAGGGTGGTGGGGGAGGAGAACAAATCCAACAAAAGGTGCGTTTCCGAAGCGCGGCGCTGTACCTGGTAGCGGGCGAGGTAAGCGTCCAGTCCCGTGTAGCGGATCATGCTACAGCTGAACAAAGGCCACTCTGTGCTATCCACCTGTCTGGAGAATTCCTCTAGCACCTA